TCACCGTAACCTCCACCTCCCGGGTTCAAGCAATTCTCCTGCCTCAGCCTCCTGCATTTGCTGCTTTTTAATATTCATGTTTTATTAACACTTTTGGTTCCCCTCAGGCTCTTGCCTTACTCCACAGACAGCAGCTTGTATAGTATGAATGATCATGCCCACCACTACACACTCCAACATTTAGCAAGGGAGTGAAAGCCATTCCCATTAATTTAGAATTTTTTTGCACAGAGAGGTGAGAGATTGTTTCCAGGAATAGCATGTATTTCTGTACCCTTAGTTATCAAATCTTTAAATGACTTACAATGTCAAAATTATAGTTCAGTAAACATGAATACAGTCTTAATAATATTCTCTTCTAATTTAGTCTGATCAAAGACTTTCATGTTCGGCCTGGCGTGGTGGCCCACGCCTGTAATCCCAGCACTTTGGGAGGCCAAGGCAGGTGGATAACCGAAGATCAGGAGTTCGAGACCAGCCTGAACAATATGGAGAAACCTCGTCTCTACTAAAAATACAAAATTAGCAGGGTGTGGTGGCAAGTGCCTATAATCCCAGCTACTCAGGAGGCCAAGGCAGGAGAATCACTTGAAACCAGGAGACAGAGGTTGCGGTGAGCCGAGATCACACTGCTACACTCCAGCCTGGGCAAGAAGAGCTGAAACTCCAGTCTCAAAAAAAGAAGAAAAAAAGATTTTTATGTTCAAAAAAAGATAATGTTTTAATATATCTAATCTTTTTAGCAATCAAAAAGGTCTAAGTCTATCAATAAATGAATGGATAAACAAACAGTTACATATTGTTACATATCAATATGGCCGGGCGTAGTGGCTCATACAAAACAATTATGCTACGTGAAGGAAACCAGACCAAAAAGAAAAATAGATGTTGTATGGTTCCTTTTATATAAAATTCAATAAAATGCAAATTAATGGATATAGAGAGAAAGCAAGTCAGTGAGCACCCAAAGCAGAGGCAATAAAAGAGAAATTCTCAAGAGGCAGGATTTTGAGAAAACTTTTGAGGGTGATCATGTGTTCACCATCTTGGTTGTGGTGATGGCTTCCCAGATATACATGTCAAAACTTATCAAATTATACACTTTCAACATGTGCAGTTTATTGGATGTCTGTTAGACCCCAATAAAGATGTTTTTAAAAATGTGTATGATTCCAGAGCTCTCCAGTCTCAAAAAAAATTTTTTTTTTTTTTTTTTGAGACGGAGTTTCGCTCTTGTTACCCAGGCTGGAGTGCAATGACGCAATCTCGGCTCACCGCAACCTCCACCTCCTGGATTCAGGCAATTCTCCTGCCTCAGCCTCCTGAGTAGCTGGGATTACAGGCATGTGCCACCATGCCCAGCTACTTTTTTGTATTTTTAGTAGAGACAGGGTTTCACCATGTTGACCAGGATGGTCTCGATCTCTTGACCTTGTGATCCACCCGCCTCAGCCTCCCAAAGTGCTGGGATTACAGGCTTGAGCCACTGCGCCCGGCCTCAAAATTTCTTTTTAAAAAGTATAAGAACAGGCTGGGTGTGGTGGCTTATACTTGTAATCCCAGCGCTTTGGGAGGTTGAGGCAGGCAGATCACCTAAAGTCAGGAGTTCGAGATCAGCCTGGCCCCCATATCTACTAAAAATATAAAAATTAGCCAGGCATGGTGACAGGCACCTGTAATGCTAGCCACTTGGGGGGCTGAGGCAGGAGAATTGCTTGAACCCGGGAGGTGGAGGTTGCAGTGAGCCGAGATCGCGCCATTGCACTCCAGCCTGCCTGGGTGACAGGAGTGAAATGCTGTCTCAAAAAAAAGAAAAAAAAAAAAAAGTGTAAGAACAGACTGTGATAGAATTTCCCTTTTGCTTCTAATGGCTATATTTGGTTCTAAGCAATCTTTTGATGTTCTCTAGAGTTAGCTCACTCAGTCATTAAAGTTCTTCCAGATATTTACAAAGAGATAGATGCATATAAACAAATAAAATATGCTAGCTTATGACATAGGACTAGAGGGTTAACATTTGTAAAATTTTTTTAATGTTAATAAGTTAGCACAACTTATTTTATACCATGCAAATAGTGAAAGAAAGCCTGCTTAACTTGAAATGTTATCTTCCAGAAACCTCCAACGCACAGCATATATATCAGCAAAACACTAACAGTCTTCTCACTAAAGAACATCTTGAAGAAGACAAAGATGCCTAGTACTATTGCTGCTTTTCAATATTTACTCAACTTCCTGTCCAGTGAAATAAGACCAGGGTAAGAACAGATACCTTAAAAAGGTACAGGCAGCAAAGAGACTAGTGTGATTATTTATAGTCGGTATGATCATCTAGTTAGAGAATCAACAGAAAAATTACTGGTACCGTAAGAGAATTCAATATAGTATTCTCAGCCTTCCTATATGCCAAAATATCTATTTTAAAAACACAGTTGGGTGCCAGGGGAAGATGTCATTTATGACAGCAGCAAAAATTAGTCTACGAAATATTCAGGAATAAACCTATCCAAAATCTGCAAAACCTGTTTGAAGAGACCCTTACCTCACATGTAAGAGAGGATTTCAGTGAACAGATATTTCATGGACTCACTGGGAAGACCCAGTGTGATCAAGATGTTGAAACAGGACTTCCCTGAGACCTTGGGGCAGCACCATGTCACAATCCTTCCTGCTTTTGGAAATTAATTAGGATATGGTTTTCTTTTTTTCTTGAGACGGAGTCTCACTGTCACCCAGGCTGAAGTGCAGAGGCACAATCTCTGCTAGCTGTAACCTCCGCCTCCCGGGTTCAAGTGATTCTCTTGCCTCGGACTTTTGAGTAGCTGGGATGACAGGCGCGAACCACCACACCCAGCTAATTTTTTTTTTGTATTTTTAGTAGAGACAGGGATTCACCATGTTGGCCAGGCTGGTCTCAAACTCCTGACCTCAAGTGATCTGCCCACCTCGGCCTCCCAAGGGATATGTTTTTTTAATGAGGCAAGTTGCATCAATATCTCGTAGGAAATAATAGTTACGGGGAGCATCTTTTGTTCAAAACATCTTAGTTTGGAGATTGTGCTGCCTTCTGCAGCCTCAGTGTCCTGAATTGAGTGAATGAAGTGGAACGCTGGATAGGCTGTCTCCTCCATAGGTGAGGTGAAGAGGTGATGCCTGGAGTCACCTTGAGCCCAGAGCTTCTGCCTTTGAAGCCATCTCCCTGTGGTGCCCATAAAGCATGACTGTGGCTGACCACGTCTCTGCCTCCACCTTCTAGCCACACCAGCTCAGTAACCCCAGCAGAGCACTGTGGGCAGTCTCTGGATGTTGGGAGCATTGTTTTCACAGTGGATGAAAGAGCAGTAAAGCCCTTTGATCTGTCTTTCTTGTGGTCCTGAAACTTACATGCAAGACTAATTAAGGCTGGGCATGGTGGCTCATACCTATAACTCCAGCACATTGGGAGTCTGTGGCAGGTGAATCACAAGGTCAGGAATTCCAGACCAGCCTTGCCAACATGGTGAAACCCTATCTCTACTAAAAATACAAAAATTAGCTGGTTGTGGTGACGGGTGCCTGTAATTCCAGCTACTTGGGAGGCTGAGGCAGGAGAATCGTTTGAACCTGGGAGGCAGAGGTTGCAGTGAGTCAAGATCGCGCTACTGCACTCCAGACTGGGTGACAGGACGAGACTCTGTTTCAAAAAATAATAATAATAATAATTAGAACAAAGTCCAGTAGTATAGAGGATTGGAAAATAATCAATAGGAACAGACAAATCTAATGTTGAAGTAGAATAATAGATCCAGAAATTAATTCCAAAGTTCTATTTATGGTTCTTCTTTTTTTTTTTTTTTTTTTTTTGAGACAGAGTTTCACTCTTGTTACCCAGGCTGGAGTGCAATGGCGCGATCTCGGCTCACCGCAACCTCCGCCTCCTGGGTTCAGGCAATGCTCCTGCCTCAGCCTCCCGAGCAGCTGGGATTACAGGCACGCGCCACCATGCCCAGCTAATTTTTTGTATTTTTAGTAGAGACAGGGTTTCACCATGTTGACCAGGATGGTCTCGATCTCTTGACCTCGTGATCCACCCGCCTCGGCCTCCCAAAGTGCTGGGATTACAGGCGTGAGCCACCGCACCCGGCCTATTTATGGTTCTTTAATGTGTCCTTGATATTAGCTTGCAATTAGCTCCATCAAGTGATAGTATCTAACGTACAATGGGCTTATCAGTTTTTTGCTTCTCATGCTGCTTTTATGTCTCTCTTCTTCCACATTCTTGGAGTCCCCAACAACAGGGCAGAGGCTGAAAGGCACAGATGTTTTGTGTCCTATGGCTTGGCTTCCATTGAGGTAGGCGAGGGTGACCGTCCCTGGGATGGATGACAAGACAGGTCTGGGCACGCCACAGTCTGGCTCTGCCGCCTGGCTTCCTGGGGACAATTGAGCAATTACTCTGTACCAGGCGGGGTTCTGAGTGCTTCCACTCCCCAATTTGGGTCACTTCTGCAAGGTGACGCAGGTAGGAAAGATGTGACTCCAGCCACTCTGGCCTCCAGGACTGCCCTCCTCTTCTCACCGCTCCTCAGCCTGCATTAGCTGGGCCGCCCTTCCCATGTTGACCTCCTATAACTGCGTGTTGGCCTCACGGGCAGCCTCTTGAAGCTGCCACCATCCCTGTTCCCCTTTGGTTCAGGCCACAGGGATGCCTGGAGCTGGAAACGGCCTTGCTAGCACTGACTGCGGAGTCTTCAGTGCGTGTGTGTCTGTCTCCCTAACTGAACTGTGAGCGCCTAAGGCGGGGCTTTCCATCTGCTAGTTTATCCCTGGAATGCATCTTTATGCTTGGCAGAGGATGGGCATTACATGTTGGATACACTAATTGATCCTAAGATTCTAACCACTAAATTTTACCAGAATTAGCAATTGCATCTTTTCAATGATCCAAACAGCTGACCCCCTGGGCTGACGCCTTCATTACGCTGCAGCCTCCTCCCGCTTTGTTCCTCTCCCTGTTGCAGCCGATGGGATCAGAGCGGATGGAGATGCGCAAGCGGCAGGTGCCCGCCGCCCCGGACGCCCCAGGCGCCGCCCCAGGCCAGCCGGGAGTGGGAAGCCGTGGGTCCAACGCATGCTGCTTCTGCTGGTGCTGCTGTTGTAGCTGCTCGTGGTAAGGTTTGGGGCTTTTTAATTAATGTGCTCCTGACTGGGAAGTGGCACCCCTGAATGGTGGCAGCCTATGGTTAATCCGGTGTTTTTTTTAAAAACTACTATATGCCTGAGACGGAGGGACACCCCAGAAATAACAAGTGTCTATGCCTGTCTAGCTCTCAAGGGGCTTATGCTCAGATCCCTCAAATCAGGCCAATGTGTGTTAAACAACTAAAGAACAAGCTGAGGTGGTTCCCAATTGATTATCAACATTTGGGCAGAAATGGTTAGAAAGAAGTGAACTCGGGCAATCCTGGTTAGGATCTAAGATAGGCCTTACATGTTGGGGCCATGAAGTAGAGGGAGCCTGTGGATTGTTGCTTCCATTTCATAAATTTTGTTTTGTAGTAAATAGAGATGTCAAAAGACGTGCGTTAGAGACAAATATTTAAATATATGCTAACTTACCAGGTAGAGAAAGACGCACAGTCATTGCTTTAAAAGGAAAGAAACGACTTGAAGATCAAACATCCGTGACCCTCTGAGTAGTCTGGAGGAAAAGAGAGAATTTACACCTTAAATCATGGGAACCTTAGGTTACAGCTTTGACACCTTAGATCTGAAGAGTGCTTAGTGCCAGCCAAGTCTGTGCACCCCTTTCGCAATCAAATCATCCTAAAAGTATGGAGGGTTGGCAATAAGTTAGATCAACGTCTGGTGGGAAAGAAGAAAAACTGCTATTGGACCGATCACGAACCATGATACGGAACTAACAGAACTGATCGCTGGGGAGGAGATTGGAGGTTGAAAGTGAAATCCCCGAAGGTCGGTGGCTCCTGCCCGATTCAGGCTGGTATTAATTTCCAAGAATTTCCAATCTGGAGGAAGGGACGCAGCCACTGAACATCCACCAGTGAGATCCTGATAACCACCGATGGTCTCTTCGTTCCCACAGCCAGGGGAAACGTGGCATGGGACTGACGAGGGCTAGGCAGTGTCCAGGTGAGACTTCAGCCCCCAGTAGGAATCCGTGCAGCTCTGCAGGAAACCAGACGAGAGGCCCTGGTGGTGGGCACGGGAAACGCGTGGGTGTTCGCGGCTGCCCTAGAGGAGGAAGACACCGGTGGTGGCCAGACTGCGTTTAGGGGCCCTCATTTTCACGCTGCAAGTAGGTCTCCGTGTGGAAATGGGACGATCCCCTGAGGGATGTGCAGGACGTCGGGATGCAGGCGAGACTCCAGCCGACGGTCACTCCTGCCCCTCCCTGCTTCCTCTGCTGCCTCCCGCAGGGCGTGGTAGGCTGCCCAGATGCTGACCGGAACAAACGTATTGTCCTAACAGGGTTAGGCTAGCGGGCTGGGCAGGTCCCAGAGCAGGCTCCTCCTACGGGTACCAAATAGAGCAAATAAAGGATAAGAATCTGTACCTAGACGCTGTCATGACCATCATAGCCAACACTTCTGTAGCACTTGGGTGTGTGTAGAAGAGACAATAGAGCAATGTCTTCAAAGTGCTGGGGAAAAGTAACTGAAAACTTGGTCAAACTCTAATTCAAGAATGTGGGTTTAAAAAAAGACATTTTCAGGCATAGAAAAACCAACGGAGTTTATTGCCTGCAAATCTAAAAGAACCTAAGAAAGGGCCTACTTCAGTGGGAAAAAAGTGAACCCAGAGGAAAGATCCAGAAAACAAATAACGATGGTAGATACAGAGGGGTCAGATATCGCTATAAAATGTGGCAATTACTTTTTTGTTAAAAAGTGTGAAACCATAGCTGCAAACAATCTCTTGTCAACAATGGACAAATCAAGTAATTTAGACTTTCTTAGAAAAAAATATTTTAAGAAAATTTTATTTCAAAAGTAATGGCATTCATAATTAGTCCAAAAATACACCGTATAGTTTTAACATCAGTGGAAGACAATACATCTAGAAAACCTACCAACATGTGACAAAAGTAGCATCAGCAAAGGGGAAAATAAACTATTCAGTAAACAGGAGAATACCTGGGATTTGGGTACCAACTCAGCCTCATTGCTGAGTTTTAGCACTGAGAAGTCCCACAGCCCGGAAAACCTAAAAACCTCAGGCAAACCAGGAAGATTGTTCTTCCGACTTGGTATCCAAATACATAAAAATATATTTCTATTCCTACATTGCACCATATACAAAAATCAATTCCCACCTTTAAAAAAAGATCAACTCCAAATGGCTTAAAAGCAAAGAAGAAAATACAAGGTAATGTTTTTATCATGTTGGTGTTGGGAAGAATTATTTTTAAAAAGATAAAGCAAATTCTATAAAAGGAAACGATTCATAAATGTGGCTACATTAAAACATTAAGATGTGTTTAACAATAGAAAGAAAAACATGTTCACATAAAGACTCATACATGAATGTTTATAGCAGCATGATTCATAATAGTGAAAAAGCGGGAAAAAAATTCCTGTCAACGAATGTATATATAAAATATGGTATTCCATACAGTGGAATATTATTTGGCCATAAAAAGAATGAAGTGGCTGGGTACGGTAGCTCTCACTTGTAATCCCAGCACTTTGGGAGGCCGAGGCAGGTGGATCACCTAAAGTCAGGAGTTCAAGACCAGCCTGGCCAACATGGTGAAACCCTGTCTGTACTAAAAAGAAAAATACAAAAACTCCGCCAGGCGTAGTGGTGTGTGCCTGTAATCCCAGCTACTTGGGAGACTGAGACAGGAGAATCACTTGAACCCAGGAGGCAGAGGCTGCAATGAGCTGAGATCACACCATTGCACTCCAGCCTGGGCACCAAGAGCAAAACTCTGTCTCACCAAAAAAAAAAAAAGAAAAGAAAAAGAAAAAAAAAGAAAAAGGAATGAAGTCTTGACACCACCAAAATATAGCATGAATTGTGAAATCACCTGCCCAGCCCACTAGCCTAACCCTGTTAGGACAATACGTTTGTTCCGGTCAGCATCTGGGCAGCCTACCGCAGCCTGTGGGGGGCAGCAGAGAAAGCAGGGAGGGGCAGGAGTGAACGTTGGCTGGAGTCTCACCTGCACCCCGACGTCCTGCACATCTCTCAAGGGATTGTCCCATTTCCACACGGAGACCTACTTGCAGAGTGAGAATGAAGGCCCCTAAACGCAGTCCGGCCACCACTGGTGTCTTCCTCATCTAGGGCACCCCCGAACACCCACGTGTTTTCCCGTGCACACCACCAGGGCCTAAGTGAAAGAAACTAGACACAAAAGACCCATATTTTATTATGACACTTACATGAAATGTCCGGAATAGGTGAATCCATAGAGACAGAAAGTAGATGAGCAGTTGCCTAGGAATAAGGAAGATGAAGTTACTGCTAATGTGTACAGAGTTCCTTTTTGGGATGATGAAATGTTCTAAATCATGGCAATATTTATATTATTCTGTAAATATACTAAAAGCCACAGAATGATATGATTCAATTTGGCAACTTGTATAGTGTGCAAATTATATCTTTTTTTTTTCTTTTTTTTTTTTTCTTTTTTCTTTTCTTTTTTGAGATGGAGTCTCACTCTGTGGCCCAGGCTGGAGTGCAATGGCGCAATCTTAGCTCACTGCAACCTCTGCCTCTTGGGTTCAAGCGATTCCCATATCTCAGCCACCCAAGTAGTTGAGATGACAGTCTCATACCACTATGCCCAGCTTATTTTTTGTATTTGGAGTAGAGACAGGGTTTCACCATCTTGACCAGGCTGGTCTTGAACTCCTGACCTCAGGTGATCTGCCTGCCTAATCCTCCCAAAGTGCTAGGATAACAGGCATGAGGCACCGTGCCTGGCCAAATTATATCTTAATAAAGCTATTTTAAAAATATATTTAACAAAAGGTACAAAAATAAAATGAAAAGAGAAAACATACTCAGAGAAGATACTTACGATGCAATTAACAAATAATTCATATCCAGAATAAAGAACATTAAAATACATTAATAAAAAAAATAACAACCAAAAGAGTAAGCAAATGAAATGGAACAGAAAATAATCTGCTTGTACTCCCACTAACAAGGATCAGATAAATGAAAGTTAAATATACACCCATTTAAAACCTATACCCTGGCAGATCACCTGAGCCCAGGAGCTCAAGACCAGCCTGGGCAACATGGTGAAACCCAGTCTTTACAAAAAGCACAAAAATTAGCCAGGCATGGTGGTGCACACCTGTAGTCCCAGCTACTCTGGAGGCTGAGGTGGGAGGATTGCTTGAGCCCCAGGAAGTTGAGGCTGTAGTGAACTATGATTGCATCACTGCACTCTAGCATGTGGGACAGAGTGAGACACTGTCTCAAAAATAAAAAGGAAAGAAAAACCTATACCCTGGAAAAACGTCTCACACCCCTGCAAAAGGGGACAGATATGAGAGAATTCACTACAGCATTCATCTGAGTGAGCAAAAATGAAAATGGTTCTAAAGGACATAAACAGGAGAATGAATGAATATATTGTGATAGAATTACACAATGCACTACTATACAGCATTTAAATTCATATACTAGAAAAGCTAAAGTAAACAAATAAATAGGTTAGGCATAGTGGCTCACGCCTGTAATCCCAGCACTTTGGGAGGCCAAGGCAGAAAGACTGCTTGAGCCCAGGAGTTTGAAACCAGCCAGGGCAACATAGCAAGACCCTGCCTCCACTAAAAAAAATATATTTAGCTAGGTATGCATGTGCCTGTAGTCCCAGATCCTCTAGAAGCTGAGGTGGAAGGATCACTTGAACCCAGGAGCTCAAGGCAGCAGTGGGCTGTGATCATGCCACTGCACTCCAGCCTGGGCAACAAAGTGAGACCTTGTCTCAGAAATAAATTCATATGCTAGAGGAAAAAAAAAATTAAAAGCAATACATATTACATAATTGCAGTTATACTATGTTTAAAAATATGATCATGAATATAATATAGTAGCATAACTATGCACTGAAAGATGTAGAGAGAGAAACGAGGTGCACAGCAAACTTCAGTTGTTTGAATAGTGAATTTCCTTGCTTTCTTTTGCCACACTTTTGAAATCTATCCGTATTAATACACATAGTCAAGTCAGTTTTCAAGAAAGATAAATGACAGTACGTTTTCTAAGTACTTGTGAATCTTTCTCGACATGCTGCTGTAAGCCCTCTGGTAAGATTTGGTGTTATAAGGGAGGGCATGCTGATTCTTGTTCTCTTGAATATAAACTTATTTTTCCTTTCCAGAAAGTTTTCTCTTTATCACTCAAAATTTTTCCAAACTACATCTGGCCATAGGTGTTCTTCTTTTTATTATTTTTTTTTTATTTTGAGACGGAGTCTTGCTCTGTCGCCAGGCTGGAATGCAGTGGCGCAATCTCAGCTCACCACAACCTCCGCCTCCCGGGTTCAAGCAATTCTCCTGCCTCAGCCTCCCGAGTAGCTGGGACCACAGCTGCGTGCCACCATGCCCGGCTAATTTTTTTTGTATGTTTAGTAGAGATGGGGTTTCACCAAGTTGGCCAGGATGGTCTCGATCTCTTGACCTCGTGATCCGCCCACCTCGGCCTCCCAAAGTGCTGGGATTACAGGCGTGAGCCACCGCACCCGGCGCCATGGGTCTTCTTTTGCTGAATAGTCCTAAAACACTGTGAGCAGCTATCTGGGCTGCTATAGACGTTCTCTAGTTCTGCTGTAACAATGACAGTGGAGCACAGTAAAGAAAACACAAAAAACATATTCTTCTCTTTTTCAAAAACACATTGTCTCTTTAAAAAACATTCTTACTTGGAATGAGGCAAAAAAATATGTCAAAGCTTAAATAATTCTGCATTATTTAGTTTGCGGTACAGCTTCTGGTCCTCTGAGGACTCTCCTGTCAAATTCATCTTTATTTTCCTCTTTGCTTCTGCATACCCACTGTGCAGTCATGTGTTCTGCTTACAAAAGAAGCCTCGGAAGTCATGTGGAGACAGTGCCACCCAGATGCCTCTCAAGTTTTTTCTCTGTTGGATTTTTTTTTTTTTTTTAAAGAAGCCATTATTTACCGAAACTTTTTAGCCCTGGCATCATGAAAGAAGTCAAAAGGGTCCCTGCATTTCTAATCATTTTGTCTTTAAAGAAAAACAAAGCGCCCCCCCAACACACACACACACACACACACACACACACACACACACACACACACACTACACACTGAAAACTTATAAAAACAGATGTGCTGAAAACAGGCTGGAAAACTTTTATGAAATAAAGAATGTTAAGAAAAGATATAATAAAAGGAATAGAAAATACAGCAGCAACAACATAAAGAAAACTCAAATTGTCAGTGATAAAAATCCATTTTTAAGTTGACGGGATGCTGAAAGCATTCCTGCTAAAATCAAGAATAAGGCAAAATGCCCACAATCTCTACTAGTATTTAACAGTGTATTTTAGGTGTTAGCTAATTAGACAGGGAAAACGACTGGAGACCTAAGAATTGGAAATAAAGAGGTAAAATTCTCCCTATTTGCAGATGAAACCCCAAGAGAATTCTAGTTATAACCGATACAAACACAAAATAATTCAGAAATAAAGATATAAAATTAACATTAAAATAATAGTCTTTAGGCCTCGGATCTAAAATAAAGAACCCTTCCATTTCAATAAGAAAATACAAATAAATAAATTTAGAAATAGTCAAAAGATCTGAATATACATCCCTCCAAAGAAGCTGTACAAATCGCTAGTAAATACATGAAAAGAAGTTCCGTGTCAGTAGTCACTAGCAAAATGCAAATCAAACCCACAATGAAATACCACTTCACACCCACTTGTAAAGCTAGAATAAAGAAGACAAGAGTAACTGTTGGCAAGGACATGGAGAAATTGGATCCCTCAAATATCACCACGTGAAATGGCACAATTGCTTTGTAAAACAGTTTAGGAGTTCCTCAAAATGTTCAAACTCAAGTTACCATATGACTCAGCAGTTCTACTCCGAGGTTTCTACTTAAGAGAAACACAAATATATATTTGCACCTACCTGCACAGAAAAGTGCATAGCAGCATGATTCATGCAGCCAAAATGTGGAAACAACCCAAATGTCTATTTGCTGATGAACGGATAAACAGAATGCGATGTGTCTATCCAAACAATAAGATATTATTCAACTGGAAAAAGAAATCAAGTACCGATACATGCTAGGGCATGGGTTGAGTGTGAAAACGTTATGCCAAGTGAAAGGAGACAGCCACTGAAGATCTCGCTCCAGAACGGGCAAATCTGGAGAGACAGGAAGTGGATTCCGCCTTGCCTAGGACTGGTGGAGTGGGGAGATACAGGTGATGAGCAGTGACTGCTAACGGGTGGTATTTCTTTTGCGGGTGATGACGGTGTTCTGGAATTAGATGTTAGGGATGGTTGTACAACTTTGTGAGTATACTAAAAACCGCTGAATTGTACACTTTCAACAGATAAACTCTATGGCATATAAATGACAGGTCAGTAAGTGATTTAAAAAGTGGCCGGGTGAGGTGGCTCATGCCTGTAATCTCAGCACTTTGGGAGGTCCGGGTGGGTGGATCACTTGAGGTCAGGAGTTTGAAACCAGCCTGGCCAACATGGGGAAACCCTGTCTTTACTAAAAATACAAAAATTAGCTGGGTGTGTTGGCGCACACCTGTAGTCCCAGCTACTCAGGAGGCTGAGGCACAAGAATAGCTTGAACCCAGGAAGTGGAGGTTGCAGTGAGCTGAGATCGTGCCACAGCACTGCAGCCTGGGTGACAGAGCAAGACTCCGTCTCAAGATAATAATAATAAAAATAATAGTAATAGTATTCATATTGCAAACAATAGCCACTTTGAAGATGAGATAAAAGTATAAATTCCATTTACAATAACAACAAAAATACTTGGAATAAGTTTACAGACAAACATACAGAATGTGTATAAGAAAACAAACTCTTGAGAAATACAACAGTAGACCGATTATGCACTTTCCCAGTTTTCTCTACTATTTTTGTATATGTGCCTATAAATGTGAAGCCTCCATTTTGACTGGAAACAAAGCCTAGAGGATGTATACTTTTTTTAAGATACAGAAAATGAAATGAAACCCCAAAACATTCCTGACAATCTTACTTTTTTACTATTTTCATTTCTAAAATGTTGGTATTAAATAGAGATGGGGGTCTTGCTATGATGCCCAGGCTGGTCTTGAACTCCTGGCCTCAAGTGATCCTCCTGCCTTGGCCTCCCAAAGTGCTGGGATTACAGGCATGAGCCACCATGCCCAGCCCTTTTTTTTTTTTTTTTTTTTTTTAAACTATTTTCTAATGAATCTGTTTTTATGAAAAAAATTATTATTCTAAGTACAGTTGAGCACAATAATTCCTAACTCTTCCTCAATAGTAGAAACCACAATGTTTTAAATAAGTATAATTTGTGTTTCTGGTACCTTATTGCCATACTTTTGGTTTGCTTGGGAAAACTAACTAGGGCCATTTTTATTTTCCAAGGAGCGGAAGAAATTCTATTAATACTTGGGGATCTGAAGTTCTCTTTAAAATATTTTCTTGGCAGAGACTGAGCTGTCAATATGTAAATGTGTGTGTGTTTTTTTGTTGTTTTTGGGGTTTTTTTGCAGTCTCACTGTTAGAAACCAGGAAGATCAGAGGCCCGCAATAGCTTCCCACGAACTCAGAGCAGACCTTCCAACCTGGGAAGAAAGGTGAAATAGCACGTTTTTTACCTCACTAAACTTAAAGAAACATCAACCTCTTTCTTTTCTTTGCCTTGTACGTTTCTATAGAACATGCACCTTCTCTAACTGCAATTTAGTAACAGCCAATCGCTATGTGGCCTCACACTCCTCCCCTGCAGAATTCCATTTAATTCATTGCATGACAGGGAGAGAAATAATTTCCGTTATTAGTCTAATCCCTTTGCTAATTGCAAATAGAAATAAATGCTTCCTAACAAAATATATTATGTTATTTCATTTTTTTATAATGTACTTGTAAAAATAAAACACTGACTGGGCACAGTGGCTCACGACTGTAATCCCAGCACTTTGGAAGGTTGAGGTGGGTGGATCACCTGAGGTCAGGAGTTCGAGACCAGCCTGGCCAACATGGTGAGACCCTGTCTCTATTAAAATACAAAAATTAGCTGGGCATGGTGGCACACACCTGTAATCCCAGCTGTTCGGGAGGCTGAGGCAGGGATAATTGCCTGAACCTGGAGGCAGAGTTTGCAGTGAGCCAAGATTGCACCACTGCACTCCAGCCTGGGAGACAGAGCAAGATTCTGTCTCAAAAATAATTAATTAGTTAATTTTAAAAATAGGCCGGGCGCGGTGGCTCAAGCCTGTAATCCCAGCACTTTGGGAGGCCGAGGCGGGCGGATCACAAAGTCGAGAGATCGAGACCAACCTGGTCAACATGGTGAAACCCCGTCTCTACTAAAAATACAAAAAATTAGCTGGGCATGGTGGCGCGTGCCTATAATCCCAGCTACTCAGGAGGCTGAGGCAGGAGAATTGCCTAAACCCAGGAGGCGGAGGTTGCGGTGAGCCGAGATCGTGCCATTGCACTCCAGCCTGGGTAACAAGAGCGAAACTCCGTCTCAAAAAAAAAAACAAATAAAAAATAAAAAAATAAAAGGGAGAGAGAGAAAGAAAGAGTTATCGATGCTTGCCAAAAATTAAATGATGTATAAGTAGAGAAACTAATCTAACCTCTAAGAGATTAAACACTGTTAACCCATTCCTTTTTTTTTTTTTTTTTTTTGAGAAGGAGTCTAGCTCTGTTGCCCAGGCTGGAGTGCAGTGGTGCAGTCTTAGCTCACTGCAACCTCCGCCTCCCAGGTTCAAGTGACCCTCCTGCCCCAGCCTCCTGAGTAGCTGGGATTACAGGCTCACGCCATCACACCCGGCTAATTTTTGTATTTTTCAGAGACGGGGTTTCACCATGTTGTCCAGGCTGACCACAGGTGATCCGCCAGCGTTGGTCTCCCAAGTGCTGTAACAAAGTACCAAAATCTGGGTAGCTTAAAATGACAGAAACTTGTTCCCTCCCAGTTCTTGAGGCTGGAAGTCCAAAATCAAGGTGTCAGCAGGCCATGCTTCCTCTATACTCTTACAGCCCCAGGGGAGGATCCTTCCTGGTTCTTCCAGCTTTGGGTGGTTGCCAGAGTGCACGTCATTCCTTGGCTTATAGATACCTCACTCAAGTCACGTGGCTGTCTCATCCCTGTGCTTCCCCATGGCATCTTCACCCTGTGCATGTCTGTGTCTGTGTCCAGATTTCCCCTTCCACGATACCAGTCATTTAGATTAGATCTCATCCTAATGACCTCATCTAACTTCACCAAATCTGCAAAGACCTTACTTCTAAATAAGGTCCCATTCTGAGGTACAGCAGGTTAGAACTACAACGTATCGTTCTCAGGGGCACAATTTAACCCATAATAGCTTTCTACAGAAGAGACACTGGATCCAGATGGTTTCACAGGCAAGGGCCACAAAACATTCCGGGAATAGATCATTCCAAGATCAGGCAACTCTAGGATAACGAATGCAGTATCTGAGAGGCCAGTGTAACAGTGATACTGCAACCCAATAGGATTGTTCAAGAATGGAAAGGTAGAGGTACATCCTACTCAGGATCTGGCCACACACAACACCACGGGGGAATCTTAGAAACTTAATGTTGAGTGGAAAAAGCAAGTTGCAGAAGACAAGATAGAGTCAACCATTTTGATTTTTAAAAAAACTGCTGGGCACAGTGGCTCACACCCATAATCCCAGCAGTTTGGGAGGCCAAGGTGGGCGGATCACCTGAGGTCAGGAATTCCAGACCAGCCTGGCAATGGTGAAATCCTGTCTCTATTAAAAATACAAAAAATTAGCCAGGTGTGGTGGTAGGCACCAGTAATCCCAGGTACTTGGGAGGCTGAGGCAGGAGAATCGCTTGAACCCAGGAGGCAGAGGTCGCAGTGAGCTGAGATCACGCCATTGCACTCCAGCCTGGGTGACAAAGAGAGACTCTGTCTCAAAAAAATAAAATAAATAAATAAAAATAAATCAATCAAACCTAAAGACTATATTTTTCAGTGTTACATACATACATTTAAAACTATGGAAATAAGATAAAAGAGATATTAAGGATCATTGTTAAGCTGTGTTTGCTCACCTCAAAACAATTATGACAGAAGTAAGAATTAACTCAAAGGGATAAGCCCACGATCAAGTGCAGCAGTTCGCTAGGAGACAGAGCCGGGAGAGAGCAGCAAGTAGAAGTAGCACCAAAATCAATGCAGCATTGGCAGTGCTGTTCTGGTTCGTACAGAAAATGGCACATTCATTAGTGTTCACTTACACTGGAGACTCAGAGAGGTGGATGGGAGGGTGGGAGGGAGGTAAAGGATGAGAAATTACCTAGTGAGTACAATGTGATGACTACACTAACAGCCCAGGCGTCACCATTGTGCAATATACCCATGTTACAAAAGTGCACTTGGAGCCCCTAATTATATTTTTTAAACGTTTGTAATTTAAAAAAAAAAAAATGGGGGAGCCAGGCACAGTGGCTCACACCTGTAATCCCAGCAGTCTGGGAGGCCAAGGTGGGTGGATTGCTTCAGCCCAAGAGTTCGAGACCAGCCTGGGCAACATAGTGAGACCTGACTGTACCAAGAACGGGAAAAGTTAGTTGGGCGTGGCGGCAGGCGCCTGTAGTCCTAGCTACTTGGGAGTCCAAGGCAAGAGACTCACATGAGCCCAGGATGTCGAGGCTGCAGTGAGCGGTGATCACACCCTTGCCCTCCAGCCTTGGCAGCGCAGACTGTCTCAAAAACAAAGTGTTTTATTGTCACCTTTCATAACTTGCATTTATATTACATATATTCTCTTTCTCAAATATTACAGAATTTCAAAATACATTAAACAGACACTTGCCCTATTGTTCTAGAGCAGGCGTCCCCAAACTTTTTACACAGGGGGCCAGTTCACTGTCCCTCAGACCGTTGGAGGGCCGCCACATACTGTGCTCCTCTCACTGACCACCAATGAAAGAAGTGCCCCTTCCTGAAGTGCGGCGGTGGGGGGGGGGGCAGATAAATGGCCTCAGGGGGCCGCAGTTTGGGGACGCCTGATCTAGAGGTTTAATGTCAAGTCTGACTTAGTTCTGTCAGAGTTCAGAACTCATTGCAGGGGATTTTGGGTCATAGGGTTGTAGGATTTTTCTTTGCATTTACAGTTTTTAAAATATTGCAAGATATGCCCAGTTGTAAACAAGCATGTTCTTAGCAGCGATTCTAGCAACTTGGCTTGCAAGCCTTTCCGTATGCAATCCAGCAAACAATTGGAAAGTATCATATTCATGCGTTTTTCTCAAAGGCTTAAGGAAACGAAAACAGCTCTTTCCCTTCCTAAAAGGGCCTAAACGCATCTGTTTTTCATTCTTGGAGGAGGAAAAGATACGTTTCTAATGATGAAATTCCAATTAACTACCAATAACAGTTCCCTTTTACCGCCTCTGTTTCACTCTCCACGAAGCCCTGCTCCTACTCTGGAAGAAGTCAACGCCTGGGCTCAGTCATTTGACAAATTAATGGTCACTCCAGCAGGAAGGAATGCATTCCGTGAGTTCCTCCGAACAGAATTCAGTGAAGAAAACATGCTCTTCTGGATGGCCTGTGAGGAACTGAAAAAGGAAGCTAATAAAAACATTATTGAAGAGAAAGCAAGGATCATCTATGAAGACTACATATCTATCCTTTCCCCTAAGGAGGTATGTGACTACGAAATGCCTTCTTCCAGGGCTGCTGGTAAAATTATTCAGTTGGTGCAAAAGTAACTGCTATAGGCAGGGCGTGCTGGTTCATGCTTGTAATCCCAGCACTTTGGGAGGCCGAGGCGGGTGGATCACCTGAGGTCAGGAGTTTGAGACCAGCCTGATGGACATGATGAAACCCCATCTCTACTAAAGATACAAAAATTAGCCGGGCACAGTGGCAGGCGCCTGTAATCCCAGCTACTGGGGAGGCTGAGGCAGGACAATCGCTTGAACCCGGGAGGCGGAGGTTGCAGTGAGCCGAGACCGCACCGTGCCATTGCACTCCAGCCTGGGAGACAAGAGTGAAACTCCATCTCAAAGAACAAAAGTAATCGCTGTTACTTCTAATGGCAAAAACTGATTACTTTTGCACCAACCTAATCACTCCTTCTCGGTTTGGTCATGTTTAGCTTGACCCAGAACATAGTTGCACCCGCAGTCACAGTATTCAGATCCCTTTGACTGTGGACCTGCAGAGGGGTCCCAAGTGTCCTCTGAAATCTCTGAAAAATGTTGTGCATTTTTATGGAAAAAGTATCCCCTGGAGTCTGCGTTTGACTGTGAACGCTGTTTACAAATATTATACCCTAAGACATTCCTTTAAATAAAATTATCCTGTTATTCTGAGAAAAAATCTTATATGTAGGTATCCTGATGTTGCAGAGCACAGCGTCACAGATGAGATACTGACATTACCAAGGTTTTCCCCAGGCTGGCCATTTCACATTCAAGAAATTATCAAATGAATGAGACTGGGCAAGTTTCCACCTGTCAGAGTCTCTGTTTCTTCAAATCTAAAATTTAGGAGACAGCCTGGGTGCAGTGGCTCACTTCTGTAATCCTAGCACTTTGGGAGGCCGAAGCAGGTGGGTCAGCTGAGGTCAGGAGTTCAATACCAGCCTGGCCAACATGGTGAAAACCCATGTCTACTAAAAATACAAAAAATTAGCCGAATGTGGTGGCGCACGCCTGTAATCCCAGCTTCTTGGGAGGCTGGGGCATCTGGGAGGCGGAGGTTGCAGTGAGCAGAGATCGGATCATTGCACTCCAGCCTGGGCAACGAGAGTGAAACTCCATCTCAAAAAAAAAAAAAAAAAAATCATAATAAAATAAAATTAAGGAGGTCAGATTGTTCTCACAATTTTGTGCCTTGTAGCTCTAATTATAAGTCTGCAGGTTATTTCCCACTAGGTGCTGACAGGAAAGCCAGGGTAAAGAAGCAGGGCCTCTCCTGTCATGTAGCTCCCAGAGATGGGGGCGGGCAGACCAGGACCCCTGGCCACATGCTCAGCGCTTACCAGGGCTTGGTGGTGAGCCGTCCACAAAGGGGCGGGAAGGAATGAGAAAGGTACTTGGGAAGGCTGCAGATAGACCAAGGAGGGTGAAAAGGGGATTTCCAGAAACACAGCAGGATGGGGACATCCCAGGAGACAGGACCAGGCAAGCCCAGGGGACAAGCATGAAGTTGTGTGATCACTGCAAGTGTACACAGACTGTTGTGGCAGACAGGGACGGGGAGGGTGCTTACCAAACTGTCAGGGCTGGTGGTAGGCAGCAGGAGGAGACTTAGAAAAGGGACAGTCAGAGAACATGGAGAGATTTGGGCATCAAGCCAGGGTTTGGATTTTATCTTGGGAAGCCCTTGGATTTTAGCCTGTTGATATCACCAAATTTGGATGTTTGAAAGACCAATAGGCCTGCAAAATGAATTGGAGAAGACCAAGGGCAGAAGACATTAGAAAACGAATTCAGGAGTCCAAAGGGACATGGTGAGGGCCTAGCAAGGCCAGCCGAAGACACTAGAGGGGAAGGGTTGACGAGGCAAACCCCAGCATCTCGAAATGACTCCCACATCCCTGGCATAGGCAGACCAGGTGGTGGAGTGGTTGGCTTACTTAAGTTTGCTTTGTTACATTTTGCTTTCTTAAGTTCATGTTAAATTAGTGATATGCAGTTGACATGTTTGAATACTGAGTCCAGAAAGTTATTTTTATTTTGGTTTGTTAAGAGCAAGGTAATTTTTGTCCTTTAATTTGTGGCTTCTACATATTTCTATTTTGTCATGATTTCTTTTTCAAGGCAAGGTTTTTCCTCAGTCCTTTAAAGCATTATACAGCCAAAAAATTATAATCCCAGCCTATAATCCCAGCACTTAGGGAGGCCGAGGCAGGCGAATCATGAGGTCAGGAGTTCGAGACCAGTCTAACGTGGTGAAACCCCGTCTCTACTAAAAATACAAAAATTAGCCAGTCGTGGTGGTGTGTGCCTGTAGTCTCAGCTACTCAGGAGGCTGATCCAGGAGATTTGCTTGAATCCAGGAGGTGGAGGTTGCAGTGAGCCGAGACCATGCCACTGCACTCCAGCCTGGGTGACAGAGCAAGACTACATCTAGAAAAAAAAAAATTTAGGAAATTTGTGAAGCAAAAACAATATAAAAAGATGACCCTTTCTCCCCAAATATAAGCATTTATTGTTTGAAATGTAAAAGCTTGAAAAAGCTTAAGAGTATAGATTTAGCCATATGCATAGGTCATAGCGTAGGTCGGATGAGCTTGGCTTGGGTTTAAACCCCAATTCTCATTTTTCAGCTGCCCAACTGCAGGTGTCTTTTTTTTTTTTTTTTTTTTTGAGATGGGAGTTTTGCTCTTGTTACCCAGGCCGGAGTGCAATGGCGTGATCTCGGCTCACCGCAGCCTCCGCCTCCTGGGTTCAGGCTATTCTCCTGCCTCAGCCTCCTGAGTAGCTGGGATTACAGGCGCATGCCACCATGCCCAGCTAATGTTTTGTATTTTTAGTAGAGATGGGGTTTCACCATGTTGACCAGGATGGTCTCGATCTGTTGACCTCGTGATCCATCCGCCTCAGCCTCCCAAAGTGCTGGGATTACAGGCTTGAGCCACCGCGCCCGGCCGCAGGTGTCTTTTTTAACCTCTCTGCAGCTTTTTCCTCCTGTGTACGAAGGGATCATCACACCTGTAGATTTGGGCAGGGTAGAGGGAAAGGTTATTTTAGACAGAGGGAACAAAGACAAGGTATTTCTAGCTCCTTCCTTGTGTAAATTGCAACTGGTTCAGAACAGCTCTTGAGAAGAATGAGGCAGAACAGATTGAGAAAGGCCTCAGCAGCTTAGACTTAGATCTGATAAGCTTTGGACTTGATCCTGAGAGCACTAGCAAGCCAGAGCAGAGTATGAAGCCGGCGTGTCAGGACAGGGTTTGCATTTTAGAAAGAGGCCCCTGGACTGATCCCAGGAACGGGATTTGGCGAAGCACCAGACCGGCGCCAGGAGAACGCTTAGCAGGCTGCTGCACGAGTCCAGCGGGAAACGGCCAGAGACCTCTCCAAGGCTCATGGCAGACAGAAAGGGGGAAGGTGGATAGATTCAGGTGTTAGAGAGGTAGGGAGGGCTGGGCCTGGTGGCTCATGCCTGTAATCCTGGCACTTTGGGAGAGACCAAGGTGGGAAGATCACTTAAGCTCGGGAGTTTGAGAGCAGCCTAGGCAACACAGTGAGACCCCATCTCTAAAAAAAAAAAGTTAGCTAGGTGTGGTGACACACACTTGTAGCCCCAGCTGCTCAGGAGGCTGAGGCAGGAAGATCACTTGAGCCCATTAGTTTGAGGCTGCAGTGAGCTATAATGGGACCACTGCACTCCAGCCTGGGCAACAGAGCAAGATCCCATCTCAAAATAAATATAAAAAAGTAGAATCAGTAGGACTGTGTGACTGAACATAGAACCAGGGGGAAGAGGAAGGATAAGCAGGGCTGTGAACTGAGTGGGGACAGCTACCTCCATTTCTTCATGAGCTCACAAGATTGGGAGATACTGGGAGTCCATTTTGACAGTATCGGGTTTGAGGTGCCCACCTATGGGTAAGAAAGAGGCTTTCCAGGGGGAAGGTGGATATATGCACCTGGAAAGATAGATCACATAAGCCAGTATTTAATGATTTAAGTAATTACATTTTCAGTTTTTGTTTATTTTGGTTTTTTTGAAACAGAGCCTCACTCTGTCACTAGGCTGGAGTGCCGTGGCATGATCTCGGTTCACCTCTGCCTTTTTGCGTCCAAATGATTCTCCTGTCTCAGCCTCCCAAGTAACTGGGATTAGAGGCACGCACCACTGTGCCCAGCTAATTTTTGTATTTTTAGTAGAGATGGGGTTTCATCATATTGGCCAGGATGGTCTTGATCTCTTGACCTCGTGATCTGCCTGCCTTGGCCTCCCAAAGTGCTGGGATTACAGGTGTGAGCCACCGCACCCGGCCTATTTTCAGTTTTTTATGAAAGCACTGCGTGGCATTGGAACTATCATGGCCGGCCTGTGCAGGGATGGCCCAGCTGAGGCTCCTTCCACAGAAGAGATGTGTGAGTTCATCTTTGCACCTTCGGCCTGGACTCGTTTGTCTGGTGTCCTACAGGAACAGTGTGAGCCCAGTCGTTTGCTCTGGTTTATGAGACAGTCTTGTCTAGGAAGAGCCAAACAACAGAGCAATAATAGGCGACATCTCCTACGGGGTTAGTGAAATCCAAGCACTTTGTCATTAGATCACCAAAAACATTGACACTATCATCATCATCATCCCCACACTATCATCATCATCATCCCCACCTGTGTTCACTAGGACACAGAGTTTACCTTGCCCAAGGCCCTATAACTATGCAGTCACAGGGATGGAATTTAAACCCTAGGATCGTCTGCCCTCAGGCCCTGTGATTGGAACCTCCCAGGATTTTGAGTCAGCGTCCACTTCACCCCTGTGCCCAACCCTCTGGGCAGGCCAGCACTCATCCCAAGACCTGCCACTGTGGACCAGCAGGGGAAGTCTGGGCCTCCAGGCATCAGCCCCCATGTTACGAGGAAATGAGCAAGGGGCAGTCTGTGCTATTTTCTACAAAGCAGCAGTGTGAGCACTGCCAGCATCAGTTAGAACTTGTGGGAAATAAGCAATCAAGGAGACCCCTATACCTCCCAAGTCTGGGGTGGGACCCAGCTACTGTCTCACAAGCCCTTGAGCCTGCTGAGGCCACTGGCCTTTGAGAACCACGTTGATGATGCTTTTGGTTTCTCCTTCTGTGGTTTGGATTTTGGGGACAATCTCCTTTGGTTTGGGACATTTAAAAAAACAACAAGGCCGGGTGCAGCAGCTCACGCCTGTAATCCTAGCACTTAGGGAGGCCAAGGTGGGCAGATCACCTGAAGTCAGGCGTTCAAGACACACCTAGCCAACATGGCGAAACCCCGTCTCTACTAAAAATGCAAAAACTAGCCAAGCATGGTGGCAGTGCCTGTAATCCCAGCTATTCAGGAGCCTGAGGTAGGAGAATTCCTTGAACCCAGAAGGCAGAGGTTGCAGTGAGCCGAGATAGCACCACTGCACTCCAGCCTGGGTGACAGAGTGAGGCTATCTCAAAACAAAACAAAAACACAAGCTCTGGGAGTTTGGGATGGAGCTCCAACCGAAGTCTCTAATACAGCTTCTACTCATTTCTGTTGACAGGTGAGCTTAGACTCCCGGGTGAGAGAGGTCATCAACAGAAACATGGTGGAGCCATCCCAACACATATTCGACGATGCTCAACTTCAGATTTACACCCTGATGCACAGAGACTCGTATCCTCGATTCATGAACTCTACTGTCTATAAGGACTTGCTTCAGTCCTTATCGGAGAAATCCATTGAAGCATAGGATTTTTCAAATATATTTATTATTAATAAAATAATAAAAGAACTCATGGGCTACATCTAGCACAGGGAATTTAGAGGCTGTAGCATCTTCTGCTGGAGTAATACTCAGGCTATTTTAATAACAGATGATTCCTTCAACAGACTGCTATATATTCACAATGTAAATTGCAGCCACCTTTAGTGATACTTTCGGGAAAAAAAAAAAAAAAAAAACAAGGGACATGGCTGTTGTAGAAAGCATATTTGCATTTACAAAACTGTAGCATGTTGTCAGTGGTGAAGGCTACACAGAAGGCTCCCCGCTGCCCAGGGCAGGTGCATCCACCAGAGCAAAGGGAACCACTTCTGTTTTGCATGACTTTGGTAACTGATTACTGTCCCCCTAAAGAGAAGATATTCAGGTGTTTCTCAACCACCTCTTCCGTCCATGAAGCTTGGTTTGAATATTTCACTTACCAGTGCCATTACAGGACCCAAATTCACAGTTCACAAAGATGCGACACTACATGTGAAAATGGCATTCCGCTTGATCTTAGCATGTCTGTGTGGAGACACGTGTGCGTGTGTGGATCTCTGCGTGGTTAATGTAAAGCTCTGCTCTGAGGTGGATCAGTCTCAAGTGTCTGGTAACAGAAGGAGTCCTTAGAAAATTCTTTTGTAGAAAAGAATTACTGTTATTTTATTATTAGCATTTGCCAACCTAAAGAATGAATTTTTAAATTCACAACTTGGTCATCTTCACAACGAAATTGTCAAATAAGCATATTTCCATTTTTATTATTGAGGGAAATATGGGCATTTTCATTCTTTAAAGAAATAAAGCACAGTAATTTTATCTCAATCTTTATTTTTCCATATGTACATATTTGGGAAATATAAGATTAAGAAAGTAGGGATACGTGCAGCATATCTTTTAGCTCCCAGACTAGGGTTCTGTGCTTAGATCCCACTACTTTTATCATAGGCAAAAAGAACTTCATAGCTTACAGGTAAAAATACTGGTTGGTAGACCTAGCCCATCCTGAAGAAACCCATCTCTACAACGAATGGGAAACACATTCAAAATCCGGGTCACTCTGAGTAGTGGGACACACGCTGCATTGCAGGAGGTGGCACTGTGCTCCCGCCCTCACAGGGGATGGCTCTCCTCTGCCCTCGCCCTGCCTGGCCCCTCCATAGCCTGCCTGAATCTTCATGACTCAATTCAAGCCCCAAACCCAAGCCTCTCTCCTTCATTCTCAGGAAACCATTTTACCTCCTACTCTACTATGCAAATTGTGTCCCTAAGCCTCCTCAACTTCCCATGCAACCTACAAACATGTATGGATCAGTGTCTATTCTCATCTCCCTCCGTCCAGTCCCAGAGAACAATGTGTTCTTTCCTCCTTTTCGAGGTGTCAATCCCTTACCTGTGCTTCAATTCCAAGTCTTCCAATCTCATTCCTTACTAAAGAAAAAGGATGTAACTGTGAATGAGACATAAGCCCTGCCCTCTAGTAATTTACATTCAGTAAAAGCCGACTGATAGGTCTGTGGGAACTCTGAGACAGTAGGAACTACAAGCCGGGCGCGGTGGCTCAAGCCTGTAATCCCAGCACTTTGGGAGGCTGAAGCGGGTGGATCACGAGGTCAAGAGATCGAGACCATCCTGGTCAACATGGTGAAACCCCCGTCTCTACTAAAGATACAAAAAAAAATTAGCTGGGCATGGTGGCGCGTGCCTGTAATCCCAGCTACTCAGGAGGCTGAGGCAGGAGAATTGCCTGAACCCAGGAGGCGGAGGTTGCGGTGAGCCGAGATCGCGCCATTGCACTCCAGCCTGGGTAACAAGAGCGAAACTCCGTCTCAAAAAAAAAAAAAAAAAAAAAAAAAAAAAGAACTACAGCAGGGGGAGAACAGTGCTGAAGGAGTCTTTTTTTTTTTTTTTTTTTTTTTTGAGACGGAATTTCACTCTTGTTGCCCAGGCTAAAGTGCAGTGGCGTGATCTTGGCTCACCGCAATCTCCACATCCTGGATTCAAGGGATTCTCCTGCCTCAGCCTCCCAAGTTGATTACAGGCATGCGCCGCCATGCCTGGCTAATTTTGTATTTTTCATAGAGACAGGGTTTCTCCATGTTGGTCAGGCTGGTCTCGAACTCCCGACCTCAGATGATTCGCCCACCTCAGCCTCCCAAAGTGCTGGAATTACAGGCGTGAGCCCCCACACCCGGCCTCTAAAATTCCACTCTACCCAGCAAACTGCTATCATTTCTTTAAGATTTACCTCCTGCAAGAAACCTGACCTCTTAAGTCATACCTACTGTGTTAGAGGCCATTTTTTAACGTTGCAGGAGTATTCTGCACAAATATTTATCATCTGAGTTATTACAAGTTGAGACTTCATCTCAAAAAAAAAAAAAAAAAAAGGAAAATGTAGGCTGGGTACGGTGGCTCATGCCTGTAATCCCAGCACTTTGGAAGGCCAAGACGGGCGGATCACCTGAGGTCGGGAGTTCGAGACAAGCCTCACCAACATGAAGAAACTCTGTCTCTACTAAAAATATAAAATTAGTCGGGCAGGGTGGCGGGCGCCTGTAATCCCAGCTACTCAGGAAGCTGAGGCAGGGAATTGCTTGAACCCAGGAGGCAGAGGTGCAAGACTGTGCCCTTGCACTCCAGCCTAAGCAACAAAAGTGAAACTCCGTCTCAAAAAAAAAGAAGGAAATGAAATATTAACTGAAACCTGATACCCATAGAACAGCAGCTCCGTACTTCCCCTCTCCCAGCCCCTAGCAACCACCATTCTACTCTCTGCTTCTATGAGTTTAACTATTCTATGCAGTAATTGTCTTTCACTTAGCATAATGTCTTCAAGGTTCATCCATTATCCTGATTCATCAATTCTGTCACATGGAGCAGGATTTCCTTATTTTTATGGCTAATATTTCATTGTACACACACACAGCAGGATTTCCTTTTTACTGGTAATATTTCATTGTGTACACACACACACACACACACACACACACACACACATATATATACATACATTTTCCCTTCTTTTTTTTTTTTTTTTTGAGCCACCACATGGCTAGATCCAGACGTCCGATATTAGCAGGGCTCTCCCTCCATCTCAACTCCCCTCGGCTTCATTGTACACAAAGGATCTCTGCATATATTAGGCAAAAAGCTGCAGGGACCCCAAGTGCAGCTGTGCTGGCTTAGCTGTACCTGTTCATATGGGAATCTCGAGGATGCACATGGGGCACGGGGACACTGTGAATGAGACCCGCCCGGAGTAATGTACAGGGAAGAAGGGGTGAAGTTGCCCCTAAATAAATTAGTAAAGTATCTGGGAGCTAATGCTCAGTAGACAGAAGCTATAGCTATCACGGTCCAACGCCAGTGCTCTCGGTTTTTGCTTGTTAAATACCTGCTATACTTTCATATTGGCATTATAAGTAACGTTTATTTCAAAGTAGTTCAGTCATCCACTTATAAAAACACTTGGACTAATTTAACCAGACTGTATGGGATATCACATATGAAATGTCTTTCTGAAGTAACGGCCATTAAGGGGAAAAATAATTAGCCATCTTTATGTAGCTTCCAGGGAGAGGAATCAGAACAAGGTCAGTCACCTGAGATAGCTCCCTGTGCTTTCATCTTCCATCCCCCAGCTGCACAAACAAGTACAAGAGTACACTGAAACTGTTGCACCACTTTGCAGAAATAAAGCACCCAAAGGGATCTCCCAAGACTCTAACTCCTTACATTCCTTAAAGTTGGAGTCTAAAACATGACCAACCAGTAACTATCCATTCTACCTCTGCTGGTCCTCAACCCATGGAACATTCTTTCTTTATATCTTAGCTCCTGAAGGGCCAAGGACAATATGTAACACACTGACAAAGACACATCCAAGAAAAACCATTTCATGAGCACCTACTATGTGACAGGCATTCTTCTGGATGCTAAAGATACAGCAGTGAGCACATTTCCCACAAAAACTTACCAACTCCATCTCTACTAAGTTATAGCTGTTGGTTATCGAATATAGCCATGATTATGAGCTGTTTTTTCCACTCTACTTCACTATTACTTTTTACTGACTTCAGTTTACTTAAACATTGTTCAGCATAATGTTTCCATTACTTCCTAGGAATTTGTCAGTAACTCTGTCCTATTTCCCATGAAGTAGCATTCTTAAGGATGGTCCTTTTTCATATGTGGCTTTTTTTTTTTTTTTTTTTTTTAAAGACAGAGTTTTGCTCTTGTTGCCCAGGCTGGAGTGCAGTGGCACAATTGGGCTCGCCTCAACTTCCACCTCCTGGGTTCAAGCCATTCTCCTCCCTCAGCCTCCCAAGTAGCTGGGATTACAGGCATGTGCCACCATGCCCAGCTCATTTTGTATTTTTAGTAGAGACGAGGTTTCACTATATTGGTCAGGCTGGTCTCAAACTCCTGACCTCAGGTGATCCACCCACCTCAGCTTCCCAAAGTGTTAGGATTACAGGCGTGAGCCACGACGCCTGGCCTCATATGTGGCTTTCACTAGTGATTCAGTGATTATCCTCATCGTGTTTCCCAGTGGGATACACAATTCATCTTGAATGGCTAATTTTCTACAACTTTAATAAAGTGGAGATAAAAACAATTTTTTGCTTTTTTAAAAAATTTTATATAGAGACAAGGTCTCGCTATGTTGCCCAGGCTGGTTTCAAACTTCTGAGCTCAAGCAAGCCTCTTGCATTGGCCTCCCAAAGTGCTGGAATTACAGGCATGAGCCACCTCACTGGTCTGCCTTTTTTTCCTTGAATGAGATAGGGTCTCATTCTGTTCCCCAGGGTGTTGTACAGTGGTGTAAACACAGCTCACTGCAGCCTCAATCTTCTGAGCTCAGAGGATTCTCCTGCCTCAGCCTCCTGAATAGCTGAGACTACAGGTATGCACCACCATGCCCAGCCAGTTTTTTAATTTTATTTATTTTTTTATAGAAACAGGGCCTTACTTCGTTGCCCAGGCTGATCTTGAACTCCTGGGCTGAAGCAGTCCTCCTGCCTCAGCCTCCTGAAGTGCTGGGATTACAGGTGTTAGCCACCAAGCCCAGCCTGGGAACAACTATTGATTAAAACTCTTTAAATCACAACTCTAACTATAGTTTTTATTTTGAGAAATATGGTTGAGCATGGTAGCTCAAGTCTGTAATCCCAGCACTTTGGGAGGCTAAGGCAGGCGAACTGCATGAGTTCAGGAGTTCGAGACCAACCTGGGCAACATGGCCCATCTCTACTAAAAACACCAAAATGCTGGGTGTGGTGGCGGGCACCTATAATCCAGCTACTTGGGAAGCTGAGGTGGGAGATCACCTAAGCACAGAAGGCAGAGGTTGCAGTGAGCAGAGATTGTGTCACTGCACACCAGTGAGGGCAAATGAGTGAGACTCTGTCTCAAAAAAAAAAAAAAAAAGAGAGAAATAAAGTCCATTCAGATACACAAATTACAATTTGACCCATAAGGACAACCACTATATAGCTATAAAAATTCAAAGCATAGCCTGTTATTTCTTTTGCTATCTTGTTAATACTTAAAATATCTGCCATTTGTAAGATGTATATATAGGTTTAGATGTCTGGGGGAATATAAATATTTCTGAATTTTTGCCACAGCTTAGCAAAATTTATAAACCAATGCTCATCATCATCACTCAGGTAAGTCAGAAAACCAAGACTGTTCTTTCCGCTTTCATCGGATGGTTCTTCATTATCTGTATTTGCCTAATTCCTTTGTTCATTTAACACACTTACTTTGCCCTGAAAGTAAGTGTCATACAATATTACCCTTAATATTTACTTCCAGTT